TAGGAAAATAAGGATAATGATAAATCTGCCTGGAATCTTACAAATTTAATTAAAAGTTTTGAATTGAAAAGGAACAGGGAAGGAGAAAACTGCCAGCGTATATCTAACCAAGCTACATACCATAGAGAGTAGCTTCCATGTAACAAGAAAGACCCTCGGTGAAATGACAGTTCTGGGAGGGTATTCCTGATTCAGAATGATGAGGATGGGGAAAGGTTGGGTGTGGGTAGTTGAGCATTTCATAGTAATAAGATAGGCTTCTGAAAGCCCAGTGGAGATCCTTTGGGGAAAGAGCAGTGGTGGCAGGAAGATTAATGAGACTGTGATTGGATTATATTTTAGACTAGCTAGACAGAAAGAGGAAATAGAGAATGCACTTGGAAAGCAGATCATAAGCCTGGCATGGAAGCATAATCAGGACACCTGCTGGAGCATTCCCTGCCAAAGGCAGAAGACTAGGGGCAGCAGGGCTGAGAGAGTGTGGTGACAGTCCTGCTGTATTTTGCCTTGCTAATCCCTCATCTGAGGTAATGTGTTCAATGCTGGTACTACACTTTTTGGGAATGACATTGATCAATGGCTAATGTCAATAGGAGGAAGATGAAGATGGTAAGAGGACTAAGTATGTGGTGACTGACACCACAAGATGATTAAGTGAACTGGGGGTGTTTAGCCTAGAGAAGAGAAGACAAGACTTAGGATGGACTTGATAGCTCTGTTCAAGTATCTGAGAACATGTGGGAAAAGGATTAAATTGATTGTCCTTGGTCCCTGAAAGCAGAACTGGCTACAGTGGGTAGATGTTACCAAAGAGACAGATTTACATAAAAATTAACTTCGAAACAATTGTGGCTATCCAAAAAGTGGAATGGTTCAGCCTCAGGCCAAATACTTGACACTTACTAGCTGTGTGACCCTGGGAAAGTCATTTAACCCCAACTGCCTAAAAAAAAAAAAAAAGTGGAATGGGAGGTAGTGGGCACTTCCTTCCTAGAGGATTCAAGCAAAGAAAGACCGAGATATATATAAGAGGATTGATTAGGCACAGCCTAGACTAGAGGTTCTCCTAATCCCCATCTAACTGGGATGTTATGTGGTTCTGTGAAATATTACCAACAGAAGAAACCCAGAAAGCACTTCTAGTGAGGGTGAGGCTTGGGCAAAAAAAATGAAAAGCCCCTGGGAACACAGGTTCATTGGTTTTTTAAATAAGTCGAATGTTTCGTTATTCTAGATTTGACAAACACCCACAAATCCATATACAAAGAAAAACTGAAAAAGAAGATTGCATATGAAACTGCAAATATATATTATTTATCACCTTTTAAAAAGAATATATAATGAAAAGTATATGACAGACAGGTCCTTTGTGCTACATTATAGCTACTCTTTATGATATCTAGCTCGGTGGATATGTAGTGGCAATTTTCTCCTTTTCCCCCTTTTCTCTTTTTCAGTTTCCAACCTGTCCTGCTTAAGGCAAGATGGGGGACTGCAGCTATCTGGCAATCCCCTGCTTTACCAGGTAGAACAAATAACAAAGCGACATGCTATTCCGGACCTGATTCTCATCAACCAGGAGGACCTAGCCACTGACCATAGGAATTTTGGGGGTCAGGTGACTACTCCATCATAAAGTGATAGAAGAAAGGAAGCTGAGCCTAGACTAACACGTACCCCAGATGGGGAGAGAGTAAATTTCAAAGGTTTCAGAGACAGGAAAGGTAGGAGCCAGTGGAGTAATATTTTGCAGGGGAAATTGACCATGGAGGAATGGAAAGCTGTCATGAATGAAATTCTGAAGACACAAGCACAAATGATTCCAGTAAGCAGGGTAGGGGCAAGCTGCCTACAGAGAGTGATGCGGACACACAGGGAGCACATTGACAAACTCAAAGTCCTAAAACACATTTACTAAGGGGCAGCTAGGTGGCACAGTGGATAGAGTACTGGCCCTGCAGTCAGGAGGATTTGAGTTCAAATCCAGCGTTAGACACATAACACTCATTAGCTGTGTGACTCATGGCAAGTCACTTAACCTCAATTGCCTCACCAAAAAAACCAAAAACCAAAACCAAAAACACATTTACTCAAGATAGAAGAAAGGGGAAATAATTGAGGACAAATACAAAAGAGTAGTATGGTCCTGTTAAAATTGTGTCAAGATTGCTAAAACCCAGAATGAGCTGAGGCTGGTGATGAACACTTAGGTCACCAAAAAGGCTTTTCATTTGTTTAGTGGAAGAGAAATATTTTAAAAAAGGATAAGCTTAAGGTGGATAGGATGACAAAAATGGACTATATGGCAAGAAGGTTGAACTACACAATCTTTATTTTATTTCTGTTTTCTCTACTGAGGAGAATGGGAAGGACAGACTAAGAGAAGGATGAAGGGCCAAGATGAATGCAGAGATGGTTGGTCAGCATTTAGCTGCCTTCCATGAATTCAGATCACTGTGCCCAGATTAAGCACACATTCTGGAGTAAAGAAAGAGTGAGTGGAGATGTTTGCTGAGTCAATGTCAGCAATATTTCATAGGGTTACAGATTTAGAACTGGAAGTGCGCTTGGAGGTAATTAAGTCCAACCCCTTCATTTTTACGGATGAGGAAACTGAGGCCCAGAAGGGCTCTCCCAAGATCACATAACTAATAAATATCTGAAGTTAGATTTGAATCTACGTTCTCTGACTCCAAATCCAATGGTCTTTTCCACTATATTTACTAGGCTGCCTCTGAGAAGGAGCTTAGAGTATACAAAAATGGCTGAAATACTGTAAAGGTTAAATGTCACTTTTTTTAAAAAAAGGAAATAGATGAAGTCTGCAAATGATAGACTACTCATTTTTTAGGTGTAGAGAGTGGAAAACCTTCTACTGATGCAGATGGACAATTCATTTGTAATTTAATATCCTTAAAGGAGTTATGAGAAGTCAAGTGACTTGCCCGAAGTCACACAACTTGAGTATTTCAGGGGCAGCTAGGTGGTGCAGTGGATAGAGCACTAGGCTTAGAATAAGGAAGTCTTTAAAATCCGACCCTGGGCAAATCACTTAACCCTGTTTTACCTCAGTTTCCTCATCTGTAAAATGAATTGGAGGAGATGGCAAACCACTCTCGGATCTTTGCCAAGAAAATTCCAAAATAGGATCACTAATAGTTGGACACAACTGAAATGACTGAACAACAAAAAAATCAGTAGTGACTTGGGAGCATTTTTTCAGGGCTGCTAGGTGGCACAGTTGATAGAGCAGGGTGTGGAGTCAAGAAGACTCATCTTCCTGAATTTAAATCTAGCCTCAGACAGTAGCTGTCTGACCTTGGGCAAGTCACTTAGCTCTGTTTGCCTCAGTTTCCTCATCTATAAAATTAGCTGGAGAAGGAAATGGCAAACCACTTTAGTATCTCTGCCAAGAAAACACCAAATGGGTCACAAAGAGTTGAACATGACTGCAAAAACAACTGAACAACACAACAACCACAACTTCATGACTCCAAAGTTTATCCACTAGACCATGCTAACTTTTGACCCAGACTTTTATTACTGGCAGAATCCTATAAAACATTATTAACATATTGGCTTGTGAGTACTTACAAAGGGGAAGCAATGATCATTATATCCTTGTACTGTTTCTGGTCATGCCAGACTAAAGTAATTTTCATTTTTGACTAGTTTACTAGACTGGTAGACACAGCATACATAGTACTATATGCTATCTTTAGATTTTAGCCAAGCAATTAGGATCATAGAATCACAGATTTGGAACTAGAAGGGACATTAGGGGATCATCTGGTCCAATTTCCTCATTTTATCAATGAGAAAACTGAGGCCCATAGAAGTTAAGTGATTTGCCCAAGGTCCCACAGTCACAGAGCTGAAATTTGAACTTCATTCTTATAACTCTAAATTCAGGCTCTTCCTGATATGTCATGCTACCATATTATGTTTGTTGACAAGATGGGACAGTATGGGTTAACTGCTAGATGATAGGACAGGCAGATATGGAACTGGCTGAATGTCCAGATCCATAGAAGTATCTTTACTAGGTTGATGTTATTTTGGAGAGAGGTCTCTGGTGGAATGTCCCCAGGATCTATGCTAGACCCTGTGGAATGCAATATTTTCTTTTTTTCCTTTTTTTTTTTTTGGAATGCAATATTTTCACCAATGACTTAGATGAAGCCATAGATGACATGCTTGTCAAATGTGTAGGTGACCTTAGGGCAGGAAAGCAAAGCTAACACATTGGATAGTGAAATCTGGATAAAATAAATATCTTGATGGGCCAGAACTTTAGGTCAAGTCCCAAAAGATGAAAATTAAGACAAATGCAATCAACTTCCCAAATATAGGACACACTAAAATGTGTTTACTTTGTGATTGTTTGTAATATCTTTAATCCTAAAGTGTTCATATGTTGTTTGAGTATTTATATGTTGTTGATCACTAGTGGTCAAACCAGCGACATGAGACACACTAATGTGGAAAGCTTAGGTCATCAGATGGAATCTAAACAAGTTTCCAAGCCATGACCCAGTTCCTGTGTGTTTTGAGAAGGTTAGGCAAGGAAGAGAATTTCCCTCTTGTTGGTGGAGGACAACAGAAGTTGATCACTTAAGGAGGGAGTGCAAAGCCACATGCCACATCAGTGCTATGCTCATGTCTGAATGTTGCCCACCCTGAAGGGTTGAGAACGGGGAAGAAAGGGCCTGGGAACTCACCGAATGGATGTCCCAGTGTACATGCATGTGCACACCCATGTAGATGAATGCACACTCACGCATGTAAAAGCACACACAGATATAAACACATACCCACACACACCCACATACAGACCCCTCCCACACACACATACACACCTACACACAGACCTCCCCCCTCCATAATTCCTTTTCCTTATTCAGTGGTATCTGTATCAGCATAATAGCCCAGGCTGTCCTGGGCTCATTTTCAAGTCCTCTTCCTAGTAAAGACACTCTTACCTCTTGGAGGAGACTTACCCTTTTTCTGCAGTAAGCTTTGCCTGGCCTTGAGGAATGCCAGGATATCATTGTCTGTCTGACTGTCTCCAGTGAAAGGGATGGATGGAGAAGGGCTTCCTAGGACCCTGAAATAATTGTATTTCATATATTACATAAGGCAACATTTGACATTTGTATAATGCTTTCAACTTTTAAAAATGCTTTTACATCTGTCATCTCATCTGATCAGCGGTGGAACTGTGTTGTGGAAAGAGCACTCGCTGAATTTGCAATCAGAGGACCTCACCACCAGGGAGATGGTATCAGTTGTGGTACTCACTCCGCATTCATCCCTGTCCCCCTGATTGGAGGGTTGGAGGGTGGAGCAAAAGCTCCTCCCAAAGTCTCCATTTAAAGAGGACCCAGAAGCCCAGCCAATGTACTCCTCATTTCACACCCAGCCCAGCTATACTGCTTGGATGTGACTCCGCCATCATCATGCCCCCTCTGCTGTAGCTGGGTACCTTGCCCCCCATCATCTCCCACCCCCATCTCCTTTTCAGTTTCCTTTTGAGTGTTGTCTTCCCCCATTAGACTGTAAGCTTCTTGAGGGCAAGGACTATCTTTCTTTTTCCTAGTTATACACCCAGCACTTCAAGCAGTTCCAGGCACATAGCAGGTGCTTAATAAATGTTTATTGTATCATAAGTACAATGATTGTAAATTAAGTGATTGGTCAGAGTTTATATTTTCTTTCTCATCCCTCTGGCAGTATTTTTCAACCTTGGTCTCTTAAATCAGTGGAGATTACAGGTTGAAGGCTCAGGCAAGCAAACAGTGGTCCTGAGACAGGGGAGAGATGCTCAGCACATATAGTGTGGCAGGAGAGGCCGGTTCTTTGAGAAGTGATACACAGCCTTTTAAAGTTGTGATGCTTTTTCATTTGATTTTTGTAACACCTGATGATGTTCTCCACTTATGAGTAATAGTAATAATAGTGAGCATTTACATAGCACTTTAAGGCTCGCAAAACACTTTATGTTACCTTTATGTTTGTGTTTGATCCTCACAACCACCCTGGGAGGTAGATATCGCCATTTTTGGTCCCCATTTTACACATGAGGACATTGAAGCCAAGAGAGGTGAAGTAATTTGCCCAGGTCACACAGCTAGTAAGTGTCTGAGGCCAAATTTGAACTCAGGTCTTCCTGACTCTAAGTCTTAGTGCTCTTATCTGTGCCTTCTACATAATGGATGTCTAACTTTAAAATTGAAGGGAAATGAATTCATTTCTCAGAGGACTGAATGACACACTCGGCATAAATACAGACACCCTGGGATGTTCCAAAACCAAGTCAGGAAGCCCTGTCCTCGGAGGTATTTATTTTGCCTTCCTCCTCTATGACTGCTCTCTGTACAAACAGATTAGACAAACAGGCCAAGGGATTGCTAGGCTAATGGCTTTCTCTGCTGTCTCAAGACTTTTAAACAAATGTGTTTCCGATTTACAGTCACTGGACTTCAAAAGCAGACATAGTTCTACACCAGCCGGCTTCACTTAGTCCTAGCGAGCTACAGTGAAGAGTCCTTGGCATTTGTGGAGGGCTCAGTGGTGGCTTGTGGCTGGTCAGTGACCCTGCTCTGAAAGGCCACCTTTCCTGGGCAGGGGCCCAGGAGTTGTCCTATGCTGGGTAGAGGGAAGCATTAGCTCTGTGTCCTGAGGTTTGGGAGCTGAGCATCAAAAAGGCTGGGTTTGAGAGACTTCCTACTTGCCTAGTTCCCTCCCTCTGGCAAGATTAATTGAAATTGAATCCACTCCAATTCAACAAGCATTTTTAGGTTGTTTCCTGCCATTACGTCAGTCAATGGTCATCAGAGATTCCTTGGTAGCCAGAGTTCCATTGTGGACTAACTCCTTAAAATATATCTCTGTGTGTGTGCATGTGTTCATATATATGTATACATTTACATATATGTGTGCGTGTACATATATACACACATATCTATTGACATAAATGTTTTACTCATGCTCTCACTTTTTAAAAACATAGTGTCATTGCATAATGTTTGAGGTTCTTAATCTGGGAGTCTGTGGATAAGATTTCAAGGGGTTTGTGAACTTGGATGGGGAAAAAATTACCTTTTCATCTTCACTAACTTGTAACTGAATTTATATTTCTTTCCTAATGAAAGTAGGCAACCAACATTTTTCTGAGGAGGAGGTCTGTTGGCTTCAACAGACTGACAAAGAATCCATGTCATAGAAAAGGTTAAGAATCCTTGAGCCTAATGCCTCGTTCACCCCTATCCAATGCCACCCGACCCTTACATAAAACAAATCAACACATGGCCATATAGGACCACGCATGCCTCACTACACACCTCTCTGCTGAGAAGCTGGAGGCATGCTTCACTGACAATCCTTAGAACTGGCTCTGCTCTGGGTGACTCTTCTCCTCCTCTGAAACCAGCTTCCTTTTCCATGTTCCCTAGATGCCTGCATGCCCAGAGAAGGCCCCTTGAGGCTCAGGGACATTGTGAAAGTGGAGGAAGAAGATCAGTTGACATTTGGAAAGGGAAACTCTCGGTACAATTGCTGTACCCAGAAACTGTCCATTCTCTCTCTAATGTTTGGATTTCAAAAGGCTTCTGAACTGTTCTACTGGTAACTCACGTAGCTTATCCTGGCTGCAAGGAGAGAGGGAGAGAAAGAGAGAGAGGGAGACAGAGAGATCAAGACTGGATCTTCCCCTATACTTGGAGTCTGAGCACTTCAGCTTGCAATGATCTCTCCATCTTCTGAACTATAGCATTTACCATGCCAAACACTGGATACTTAGCATAGTTTTTAGACTGTACCTTTGATTTAATTGATATAGGGAACTTTCTATAGTGATGCATATTGGCACCAACTCCATAATTTATTGTCTCAGAGAATTACCTGGGGCACAGAGGTTAAATGACTTACATCGGGTCACATGGAACCCAGCTCTTCCTGACTTCAAGGCCAACTCTATCCATTATGCCCCATGAGAACTTAACACACACTTTTTGGTGGTGTTATTTCTTCATTTGTGTATTCCTCATTTCTCCTTCTAGGCTGTAAACTTCCTGACAGCAGGGGCTACATGTCTCAGGCTTCTCTGTATGCCCCATAGTCCTTGAGGAGGTAATGTGGCATACTGGAAACACCCTTAGGTGTTACCAAATCTAAAGAATACTGGACTGAGGTTTGAATTCAGCCTCTGATACTAGTTCTGTAAACAGGGACAAGTTTACCTCTTTGATCCTCAGTTTCCCCATCTGTAAAATGGGGATAATGACACAAGGTTGTTTGGGAGGATCAAATGAGGTAATGCATATAAAGTATTTTGTGAACTTTATAAAGTCCTGTATAAATGTCAGAGGTGAGTCAGAAAGACTTGAATTCAGGTCCTGCTTATATGAGTTCAAGTCTGGCCTCAGACACTTACTAGCTGTGTGATCCTGGGCAAGTCACCTAACCCTGTTTGCCTCAGTTTCCTCACCTGTAAAATGAGCTGGAGAAGGACATGGCAAACTATTCCAGTATCTTTGCCAAGAAAACACCAAGTGGGGGTCACAAAGAGTCAGACACAACTGAAATGACTCAACAACAACAACAAGTCCTCTAACTTCTCAATCTCCCAGACAGTTCTCTTAGTACTACTAGCAGTGGAGGGAATGTCCACATTGGAAATTCCTCACCACAATGAAATCACAGGATTGGTTCTCTCCCTTCCCTGCAGAGTCCCTGTGACACCGGTCGTTATTATACAGGGCTGATTGGAATCACTATTTGGCCCAGACGGGAGATCTGAGTAGGAATAGAATGTTTATCTGTTTCACAGAAAATACTGGCATACTGAATTCAGTCATTGAGTAACCCTCTGAACCCCTTGGGTTCTAGGGACTGAATACCTTCTCCCTTTCTACAATTTCTGAACCGACTTCAGCTTCTGGCCTCACTTAAAAATAAAATGGGCCCCAGGATTCACTTGAAAATAAAGTCAGCTTGTCAGTAAAATGCTAATGCAGAGAAAATTTTAGAATTGATTTGAGAAACTCCTCCCTTCTCTGTCCTTTGATTATTCTGGCATTAGACTGGAGGAATTTTAGTAGTGAAAAACAAGGGAACCCAGCCAGACCTGAGGATGCTAAGTTTTTGGGTCAGTGTTGGTCAGCATCTGACTTTTTACTTCAAAGTATGTCTGTCCTGTGTCACATATTATTTTTAAAGCTAACCTCTGTGTGAACTTCCCAAGCCCACAGTGCCATACACTTAAAAGATGCCCAGTAAATATTTGTCTATAGCTCCCAGGCACTGGGAAGACCACTGGGTGGTCAACTGAGGGCACTTCTGCTCCCCAGAGCCTCTGTGCTAGAAGGGGATGGAGTTGGTACTGTTCAGGTGGCTGCATTCCTTCTTAGGATGCCCCTATGGTTTCAATGATTATTTCTGTGGTGATGCTTCTCAGTCAGCTCTAACCTCTCTCCTAACCTCCAGATATGCATCTTCAACTGAATCTTTGACGTTTCAAAGACAATGTCCCACAGACATCTTCCACCCAACATGGCCATAACTGAATTTACTATACCCCCCTAACCTTCCCCTTCTTTCAAACTTCCCTATTATTGTTGTCCATCTAGTCACCCAGGCTTGCAAGCTAGGTGTCATCCTTGCCTCCTTTCTCTCACCCCCACACCCAATAGGTTGCCAGATCCTATAGATTTTATCTTCAAAACATCTCTCATATATGTTCCCCTGTCCTCTGACTCACTCTGCTACCATGTTGGTGCAAGTTCTCATCACCTGACTCGTGGCCTATTGCAATAACCTGCTGATTGGGCTCTGGGCCTACTCCCAAGCATCTTCCATCCAACCATCAGATTAGTCTTAAACTCCAATGGCTACTTATTGCCTCCAGGATCAAAAAGAAAAAAATCCTGTTTGGTCACAACCTGCCCCCCCCCCCTTCTGGCCTTCTTCCACCTTATTCTCTGCCACATACTTTGTCATCAGTCTCGTGACACTGGCTTCCGTGCTGCTCCTCCTACAAGACATACCATCTCCCTACTCTAGCCATTTTCACTGGTTGTCCCTCATGCCTGGAATGTTCTCCCTCCTTATCATGATTTCCTGGCTTCTCTAGCTTCCTTTGAGTCCCAAATAAAACCCCATCATCTATGAGAAGTCTTTCCTCATCTCCCTTAATGCTAGCGGTACCTTCTGTTTGCTGATCATCTCCAATTTATCCTGTATATATCTTGTTTGTATATCATTATTTTCATGTTGCTTCCATTAGACTGCAAGATCCTTCAGAGCAAGGCTGTCTTTTGCCTTTCTTTATATCCCCATTACTTAGCACAGTGCCTGGCACACAGTAGGCACTTAATAAATGATTATTATCCAAATACAAATATCCAGCTACACCAGTGGTGTAGTTCCCTGGAATTACCACAGGGTGGTGCAGTGACTCTATCGAGGCCACCTGAGCGTGCCTTGAAGAAGAATGATTTTGCTGGGGAGCTGAGTGTCTGTTGGTGATTCCAGGAGGTTCCTGGTGTTTCTTGGGAGTTGTCAAGCCTACCTGAACAAGAAGGCTGTGGAACTGTCTTTCTGCCCATAAACAGCTTGGGAAGGGGCCACTTCTGGCTGTGGAGGAGCCAGACTGACAATTTACCAACTCTCAGCCCTATTTTTATATTTCCATCCTCTGGACAAGGACACAAACCTTTCTTCCAGATAGAGGCTGTCTGGTGGGTACGTCTGGTTTCTTGATGGAGGGGGAGGAGAAGGCACTTTACTCCTGGGAGTCAGGTCACTGCCAATGACACAAAACAAAGGGCATGGAAAGGGTTGCCAGGGAGGAAATTCAGACCTTGATGATTATTGCTGTTGGTGTGTGTTTGTGTATGTGTGTGTGTGTGTGTGTGTGTGTGTGTGTTGACACTGATGTATTATCACACTGTATTGCTATGTATTATTAATTTTTAGGCTCCACCCCACTCCCTAAACCCCAAATTGAGCAAAGGCAGTCAGAGTTAGGGAAATAGTTGGGGACAGTAGCTGGGAATGAGGAAATATGTCTAGTGTCCATCAGTCCAATAAAGTCTATTCATCATCCCATCTCTACCAATGAGTGGAGAGTTGGGGTGGGTCTACAAATAGCCCTCAGGCTCAGAACTAAAGAGCATCTTTAGGAATCTTGAGAAGAGAAGCCATGCAGTGATCAGATTGGGGATGGAGAGAAATGTGGTAGCTTATGTAGATGTAGGTGAAAGAGGTTCCTCTATCATCCAAGGCTGAACTAGTTAGGAAAGATTTGGATAATAGAATTAGCTTCAGGTGGATTAGCCAGAACTAAGGGAATGATGGATGGATGGGGCAAGGCAAGAGAAAGACAGAAAATAGTTTCCAGGGGAGCAGAGTATGAAAATCTCCAGATCAGGGGTAAGGAGAGTGAAGGCCTAAATCCTGGGAATTGAGTCAGATAACTTTGGTGCCAAATGGGGAAGTCTTTCACAGTGGGACGGGAGGGATGGAGCATGAGGAATTTTCCAAAGTTAGGATTCCTGGGTTAGGATGAGGTATCCTAAGAATCACAGGGGAGGGGGAAAGAATTAGGAAGAAAGTACCCTGCTGATATTCTAGACTCATAAGAAATTGAGGGATAAAGAAACAAATTCTGGAAGGCTGAAATAGCTACCAGGCCATCCAAATCCACAGCAAAATAAAACTGAATTAACATGAAGGTAGACCGAGGTTATTCAAGGTTGAAGGTATCCAACCAAGAACAGGCCTAGGGGCTTATCGTTTGTATTAAGGACTAGAATTAAAGCATAAGAATCATTACAACATGTTAACCTGTTACAAATTAGAACCCTTCCCCTTATGTTCTCCTGTAATGTTGTAGAATAAATCCTCATTTATTTTGGTGTGCTGTTATCAGGGCCCAGGGAAGGGTCCTAGAAAGAGGGAAATACCAGAAAAAAAGGTGGAAATAGAATCTATCTGTCCAACCCAGGTTGGCTAGTGCAAAAGAAGAGTTTGATAAGATAAACGGGTTCAGGGCAAGGAGGAGGCAGGAATAAGGATTCCACCATTCCCAAGACATATGGTACCACATCTGTCTTCTGGGCCTAGGTGAAGGGAAAAGCTTCCAACCTTTCTTCCACATTAGGATTGTTGAACTTATTCTCAAAACTTCTTGATGGAAGAGGAGAGGGTGGTGGGTTTTTCTTGGAAATCAGGTCACTGAAAATGAAAAAAAAAAGACACAAAAGGATATGAGAGGAGTTTTCCTGGGAAGAAATCTAGAAATCCTGCCTGATTATGTGGTGGTGGGAGGGAGTGGGAATATTTTGTCACGATGATGTAGTTCTCTTTTGATGACTATAAAAATATACTCTTCAGTACCAATCGGTCAACAAGCATTTATTAATAATAATAACAATAACAGCCAATATTTATATGTAACACTTGTGTACTGGGCACTTTAGCATCAGTCTTGAACTGATTTTTTTGTAGGGAATTACATCCTCATTATAGAAATATCACATCCTGGGTGGGTGGGTTGAGGTTTTTAAAAAATAAAATTGATGTTATTCCCCAGTAAACTGATTCCTTTTCACCTTCCCTCCCCTGTCTTCATCCCAAGCCTTCTCTTGTAACACAGAAGCTCTGTAAGCAAGAACAAAAGAATGCTTTGCTATGTCTGATAGGGCATCCTCCGTTTGGGGCCTGTGGCGTGCTTCCACTCTTCTGATGTTTCCACATTGTTTTCTGACACCTGCTCCATGTGAACCTTCCCTTGGCTCACAATTTACCAGCTGTAAACTGGGCTGGCCCCTGGATCTGGCATTTCTCAGCTCATCGAATTTATCCTTAGTTTTCACTTTGAAAACTGTACTCCCCACTTTGAGCTGTCCATCCCCGGCCCTGGCTTTCTTGTGAGACCTCTCCATCCCCTGGGTTGGTTAACTTTCCAACATGTGTTAGATTAAGTCCTGGCTGAGAGTGGATCTGCTAACTGCTTGCTGATCTCTCTAGACTGGCATGAGCTTGTTATAGAAATCTGCCCGGAAGGACACTAGGCAAGTGAGTTGTTACATTAAAAAAAAAAAAATCTCTTGTATGCTCGCCGGTGTCATTTTTGACTGGCCAGATATATTTATTGACTAGGGCTTGACAAAAGTGGTTCATTTGGTTTTCCATCTCTCCTTCAGGGCTCTGGGACTAGTTAGGGAGGAGAGTTGTAGCTCTGTCACAGTGGCTCGGCTCTTCTTTCTTCCTAGGCATCCAGGACTCAGTACCACTGCCCCCTATTAGAACTACTGGGTCAGATGCCCACGATGCTGGTATTCGCAAAATTGGATCTGAGTGGTGAGGCAAACAATCTGTTCTTAATCTGGGAAGCTGGTAAGTTGGAAATGGTATTCTGGATTAAGTGTGGCATATTTGAACTCTGGGTAATACTGATTCAGTTCAACTTTCCCACTGAGGTTCCCTTTAATCTATTTTGTACATATCTTATAGGTACCTAGTTAATTACAAGTTGTGTCTCCCATTAGAACATGAGCTTCTTGAGGGTGGGGACAGTGTTTTTGCCTTTCTTTGTACCCCTTGTGCTTAGCACAGTGCCTGGCACATAGTAAGCATTTAATAAATACTCACAGTCTATTTAAATGTTATTATCATCTACTCCTGGGGCTCTGCTTAGCAGACTGAATTAGTTGATGTGTTTATTTATTACACTGATAGAATGTAAATTGCTTGTAAGCTCCCTGTAAGCAGGGAATGCATCATTCTTATCTTTTTATATATTCCTAGTGCCTGGCACATAGTAGGGATATGGAATAATGGACTGGTGATTTCATTGAGACAAGGAAAGCCAAGATGAGGAAACTCCCTTTACCAGTGCAGGTTGGTACCTTTTCTTCAAGTACTGAGGTGTTAAAAAACTTTCCCGGGGTCACAGAGCCAGTATATGTCAGAGATGGAACTTGAAGCAGGTCTTTCTGGACCCAGGGGCCAGTTCCTACCAACAAAGCCATGGCAATCCCACTCTCTAACCTACCTTGAATATATTTCTCCTGCAAGTTGACCTTGGGTAAGAACTCATTTGAGAACATCATCTTGAGGGAGATCATTGTGATCCATATGAACCTTAAAAATTTAGGGGACGTTGAGACTCTTCAGAAACTCAACCAATCTCAGGTCCTCTGGATGCTGTTTTTTTTTTTATATGTAGGAGATTTAATTCCACCATTTCTTACATCTCAGGGTCACTAGAACCAGTACGCCAATACACAGATTTGCTGCTGTGGAAACCAGAATTTGGCTAGCGATGTGCCAAAAGAATGGAAGCTGCACAGCTACTCAATCTTGACTGGATCTGTTGCACCTGTTTTCTAGCACAAGTCAGAGAGTGACTCCATTCGGGCATGTCTGTCTGGGCTCTAAGCCAGAATGACTCTTGCCTTTGAAAGACAACTGGACTCCAGCAAGGTTGTATCTCTTCACCCTTATCTTTATACCAACCTCAGAAAGAGACCTGGTAGGCAGTGTTCCATGTTTACTATGACAGCTTTGCAGTTAAACATGTAGGCTTTTAAAAACTCTCTATGACTTTTGGGGTTTTGGTGACCATACATAGAATATTCTATCTCTTGTTATGTCCAGTTGTGTGAAGTGTATCCTTATGCTAAAGAACCTATGCAAAATGGAGAAGACTTGTCTTTTTTCTTGCCCCACCCCACTTTACCCCATGGGGTGCTGGGGACATTTTGACCAGAGTGGCTAATTTTCTGCCCTACATAGGACCCTTCCACTGCTGTCAACAAATTTGTTCATTTGTAACTTTTTTGGTTTGGTTTTGTTTGGCAATTGGGGTTAAGTGACTTGCCCAGGATCACACAGCTAGTGAGTATCATGTGTCTGAGGCCGGAATTGAACTCAGGTTCTCCTGACTCTGGGGCCGGTGCTCTATCCACTGTGCCATCTAGCTGTCCCATAACTTTTTTTAATAAAATATTTTCTAACTTTTAAATTCTAAAGCTCATTGTAACCACTGACAAAAACAAATACCAAATCCAAGCAGAGGATAAAAATGAGATTGTACACAAATTCCAAGTAATTTACAACTTGTTTAAAATCCTGTATGGTAACTTTAACAAATTAAAATTCCATCTTCTATAAGAAACCTTTCCCAGTTCTCATTTATGCTATGGCCTTCCCCTGAGATTTTCTCCAATTTATCTTACATATACCTTGTTGGTAGTAGCTGTTTGCATATCCTCTCTCCTGTCAAAAAGAAAGCTTTTTGAGAACAGGGACTGTTTTTGTCTTCCTTTGTACCTCAAGGGCTTAGCACAGGGCTTGACCCATAGTAGGTACTTAATAAAGAATCTGTTGACTGAGCTTGACAAACTAAATTTACAACTTGTTTAAAATTCTGTGCATTAATTTTAATAAACTAAGTAAAATAAAAAGTCTGTGTTGCTTTTGTATCCATTTTTTAACCTGAGATTTTGGGTATATATTTTTTTAGATGATTGGGGTTAAGTGACTTGCCCAGGGTCACACATCTAGTAAGTGTCAAGTGTTTGATCTGAGGCTGGATTTGAACTCAGGGTCCTCCTGACTCCAGGGCTGGTGTTCTAATCAATATGTCACCTAGCTGCTCCTTGGGTAATTTTTTTTAACAGTCATAGAATTCATGCTGTTGTTCTTATTTTTTTTTCTTACTTATTCCTCAAATATGTTTTTTAGCTCAACCATCTCCTGTCTTACCTCCCCTTCAGTTAGGGGCCTGTTTATTTCACACTCTTCAACTGTATTTATTTATCACTGTATATGTAAAAGTTCACTTTTCTAAAGCATATTCCTCTCCACTTAGAGCACACTAATGGGACACTAGAATGGTATTTCAGGTGAGGTGCTGTGTCGTATAATAATAATAACAGTACTAATTAGCATTTAGGGAGCTCTTTATGGTTTGTAAAGTACTTTATATATGTGTGGTTCACCTTATTCTCCACAGTTAAATTTTATTATTGTAACAATTTACTTGTTTACCTAAAACTTGTCCTTCTATGAAAACTTTGGGTTCAGTTCAACTCTTGGTTCATTCCCACACTCACACCAGGCAATGTAATTCCAATTGTTGATGATTATTTTTTAAGAATTGAAGGCTGGGGCAGCTAGCTGGTACAGTGGATAGAGCACGGGACCCTGAATCAGGAGCACCTGAGTTGAAATTCTGCCTTAGACACTTACTAGCTACGTAACCCTGGGCAAGTCCTTAAATTAACCCCATTACCTCTTTAAAAAAAAAAAACAAACCCAAAACTGTACATAGATAAGCCCTTTGAGAAGTGGGTCCCTTCTCAATCATGTAGTTAGTGATTTCTGTAATAGGACAACCCTAGGATTAACCAACCTTGCTCTGAATCTATCCCTCTGCTGGGCTCCCCTCCTAGTTTTCTGGAATCACGGAAAGCCAAATACTAGCAATCCTTTGCAAGTTGGACTTATACTCAGTGAATGCCCACCCCCAACCCCACCCCCATCCCCATTCCCATCCCCATCCACTAACCATGGATAGCAAAGAAGGCTGTGTAGTTTTTGGTAGATGCTGGACTTGTGGTACTTAATAAGACTAGGAGAGGCTCTCAAGGAGGCGGTATGGTGCCTAAGCCCAAATCAATGTCATTTAGCAGATGGGCTAGAAGGTTAGGTATGGGCTAGTCCAAAAATAATAAGCTTATTGCCCTGCATTTAGTGCTTAGGACCAGTATCAAGTGATAAGCACTGTGGTGTCAAAGCCGAGCTACATTGCCTTCAGGTGATGCATTGGGAGGAGTGTTGAGGATAGGGGGATTACTAGTATTTGGCTTTCTATGAATCCAGAAAACCGGGGGGAAGCAAAAATCCCAAAGTCAGAGAGAACTAGTTGATCAGATCCAGTGTATCATATAAATATCCATGGTCAGAGCAGAAGGAAGAACCACTAACCTCTCTTCCACACTGGAGTTGCTACACCTGCTCCTTTGGTTTCTTGATGGAGGGGGAGGGGAAGGCATAATTTTTCTGGAAATCAGTTCACTGGAAACAAAACAAAACAAAACAAAAAAGCAGAAGTTTGCCAATGAACAAATTCAGGATTTGTCCTTATGAGCTAAGAGAAATGTACTTCTTTGATGATTTATAAATTCATTTAGTCTTTGGAAAATTACATCTGCAGCCAGCATAACTCATTCCTAGTTCTGCAGAGCTTTGGTTATCTGGAACCTGTAGTCACTGAGAAAAATGTCGGGGGAATTCCACGCTGAAGCAACATGCTGACAATATTAATTACTGTGGGATGACATAATACCTGTTCTGTCCACTTTGAGGACTATCAACTCTAACAATTCAAATAGTAATTTAATAAAATCTAGTAATTTAAATAAACCTCCAAAGAGCCTGCCTCATTTTAAAAGATTTCCAAAATACTGGAAATAGATGGCACACAAAGTACTCATTTTCTCCTCTTCTCCTTATCTAGCCAGCCTTTATGCCAACCAGAATCAACCATTCCCCACACTATGGCTTTACTAAACCCAGGGGGTCTTGTGGCAGTCAGACAAAAGAAATTGTGGGCCCATTATATTTTTTCCCTTTTTAAAATCATATTTTTTCTTATATATTTTGGTTTTATGTCACATTCATTTCTGAATATCTACCGCACTCTACCCTTCTCTGCCATGAGCCATCCCTTTTAACAAAGATTTAAACAGAAAGAAAAAAAAAAAAAGCAGTTTCAGCAAACTGTGTCTGATAGTATATGCAGTATTCTACACCCATAGTCTCCCATCTCTGCAAAAAGAGGAGGGAAGCACATTTTTTTTTCAAATCTTTTCTGGGCTAAGCTTGGTCATTGTCATTACATAGTAATTAGTTTCAGTTTTTGTTCTTTTCATTTATACTGAGGTAGTGGGCATATTATTTTTCTGGTTTCACTGCTTCATTTTGTATCAGTTCATGTCTTCCCATGCATCTCTGAATTCTTCATTTTTATTGTTTGTTACAGTTTAGTAATAACATTCCATTACACTCACATACTCTAATTTTTTTCAGGTGTGTCTTATTTTAATTTTTTTTGGGGGGAGGCATAGATAAGTAGATTGAACCCAGCTCTAGCTCATTCTCCCATTCCTTGGTTCATGACACCTGATCTGGTACTTAAAGCAAAGCAGCGTTTTTTATAAGAAGGAAGGGAGGGGGCTGCTGGAGCCACCCTGACCCCTCCCCATGGGCATGCTTTTGGAAGACTGGGCACATCTAACTGGAGAACTGATGGGAGAGGCTGTTTGAACTTCGTTATCTTTCTCTTGAATCTTGATGTCTCAAACCTCCTCCCTTCCCCCACCCTCTGCATGGTGTCCTCCTAAACCAATAATTCCTTCACTTATAGAAGTTCTGGTGATGTGGTGACACTACATCTGAACATGAATGTGGATGAAGTAGACTCAGTCTGCCCAGTGCCCTCAAGTCACCATTGAAGGCCGTTCTTCCATGAGCCAGAATGGCCTTTCCAAGTTGGCTCGCCAATGTTCCAGGGTAGGCAAGCTTCCAGTAGAATGATGTGGGCATTGTCACATTGTTTTCGATCTGTCTGGCAGCCTGGGGCAAATCCCAGTTGTCTTCTCTTTGCAGCATGTCCAGTTAGGTATTTCCAGAAGCAACCCTGAACTTTCGCAAACCTTGGGGCAGGCCACCAGCTGGCTCTGGAGCTCACAGACATGGTTAGCTGTTTGATGACCAAGAGCATGCCCTACTTTTAGCTCATCCAGCTTTAAGAACAGTCACTGGAGATTTGCTTCCAGGTCCTCCTGTACCACGGTGCAGTTGGCCTCTCTCTTCAGGAGCGCTTATTTCAAGGCACAGATGAAGTTCTATCTATCTTCATTTTTAATTGAAAGAGTTGTGATGACCTTTCTCAGTGCCTCCTTCTGCTCCTTCAGGGCACCTTGCCCAGGATGCTCAGAGATCTCCAGTGACTCCCCCCCTTCCCCAGTCTGCTTCGTGCCCCTGGACAAAGAGGTGCTTAGAGCTCATTGCTCAGCCTGGGACTTGGGTCTTCTTTCTGATCTTCTGGCTCTATCTCTCCCAGAGACTACTATGATATTTTGCAGGGAGAATTCCCAAAGAGTGGCCATCTCTTTTGCTTTCAGTTCTTTGCTACTGCAAACATTACTGCTATGAGTATTCTTTGACATCTTCAGGGTATGTATCTGGCCTAGTCCCTTCAAAGCATAATTCTGAATTCTTTTCCAGAATGGTTAGACCAATTCATAACTCTATCAACAGTGTATCAGTGTGCCTGTATTCCTGTAGCCCCTCCAGCACTATTTTAATCTATTGTAGCCTTTGCCAACTTGATGGGTGTGAGGTGAAACCTCAGAAACATTTGGGCTGGCATTTCTCTCATTATTAGTGACTTAGAACAGATATTCATATTACTGTTAATAGTTTGCAATTCTTTTGAGGACTATTCATATTCTTTGAACACTAGGGGATGGATCTTAGTCTTAAATATTTATATTAGTTACTTGTATATCTGAGACATCAGTCCTGTATCAGAGATAACTGATGCAAAGATTTCCCCCAATTGACATTTTTCTTTCTTATCCAAGCTTCACGGATTTTTTTCATGGAAAAAAACTTCTGTTTCATGTAAAAGTCATCCTTTTTTTCTGTGCAAGGAGGAGGAAATAACCTCTGTCACTTTTTTTGGTTAAGAACTCTCCCCCAATCTGTGAAAGGTACTCGCCCGATCATATCTTTTTGTAATCGTGTGACCTTTTATATTCATGTAGCCATTAGGAACTTAATTGTGATAAGTGGTAAAGGATGTTGGTCTAAACTTAATTCTGCTGAACTGCTTTCTAGCAGTTCTTGTTAAATAGGGAGTTATTTGTCAAGTAATTTATGTTCTAGTATTTATCAACTACAGTTATTGTTTATAGTATTTCTGATTCTTCCTTAGGTAGTCTATTCTGTTGATTTACTTTTATTTTTTTAATCAATATCAAAATAGTTTCATTCCTTTAAAAACAAAAACAATCTGTTGCCTGATTTCTAAAGGGCCCTGCTTATTATAATGGCTAAGCTCTGTGACTGTAGTGCTAGTTTTATATTGTACAAATTGCCTGTGGCTCTATGGCTGGTTCTCTGGCTAGTGTGCAAGAGCAGAATGTAACCACTAGGTGGCAGCATGTACAAAGTTTTCTACTAAGAACACTTCATCCTCTGGGGTGGCTTTTTATAGAAAGATTTCTGGCAGAGAATGTGAGAATCGGTGTGACCTCTTAGCCTTGCTGAAATGATTCCTTTACACAGGGTCAGGGTCTGTTTGGAAGCAAGAACAAGCTGGCTCATTAAGGCCAAAGTTGCCTCTGATGAATTAGCTATGTTGGGTCTACTTCTAAGACCCTTATTCATTCTTTGGAGAATTCAGAGGAGCAAACCCCTTACCTGTTCCCTCTGTGTGTTTTTACACACATATGTAATGTTTGGGTATATATATGTATATTAATATATTATATAATATATATTATAAATATATATTTATAAATTAATAAATATACTTCTATATTTATATATAATATATTATAAATATACATTTATAAATTATATATTATATAATAAATATATTTATACATATTTTATATAAGAAAACATGAAGTTTCTGCCACATGAGCACAGCAGTGGATAAAGTGCCCAATGAAGAGCAGGGCAGAAATATTTAATGTGATGTTGAATTGAATTGAATTGAATATCACTGAACTGAACAGAACTGAACTCCATAAGGCTCAATACTAACTCAAAACATCAGAATGCTGGTCCAAAATAAGGAGGAAAGAACAAGAGCTCAGGCACTCAGTGGAAAGAAACCTGTGTAGAATACTCACTGGTAGTCATGTGACAAATTAAAAATTCCAAAGAAGGGGTGGTAGATATCTGAGGGAGGTGGTTTATCCTATCAAGAGATGCCGAGTGGGTCATGGAGGAAGATGGGGAATAGTAAGAGATTCAATTTACAGACTATGACACAAAGAACCACAAATAGCTGACCAGGAGGCCAAAAAGTTAGTGGGATGCGTCAGTAATGTGGCTGTTTGGGCAAAAATTTAAATGGTAGTGAGTGTGAGGATGTGAGATCATTCATTCTCATATTCAATATATGCGTACTCTCATTGCAATGAGTGATGGAAGGAAGGGGGAAGGAAAGAAAGGCAGAGAAGCTTCAAGATTGCATATCCAAAATTCAAGGTCAAGGGTAGTGCAAGGCCCAGTAGAATACCTTGGGGAGGAATAAGACAAAAGGAAGGATTCTTTGGTGGAAAGCAAGACCTCTACAGATGAAAGGGAGGCTGTATGGTAAAGTGGAAAACATATCTGCCACTAGTTCTGTGACCCTGGACAAGCCATTTAACATCCCTGCCTTAAATGTAAAATGAGAAAGTTGGACTGGATGACCTCTAAAGTCTAAATGTATGAACCTATGAGCTTCAGAGACCATATAATCAAATTCTTACCACATGAAATCTTGCTATAGGCAACCAGGGGTATGCAAAGTCCTAGAATTTCTCAGTTGCTAAGTACCACCACTTAACCCCCACTGCCATGAAACATAAACTCAACACTAGAATGAATGATCTCACATCCTCATACTCACTACCATTTAAATTTCTGCCCAAACAGCCACACTACTGACTCATCCCACCAACTTTTTGGTCTCCTGGTCAGCCATTTGTGGTTCTTTGGGTTCCAGTCTGTAAATTGAATAACTTCTTGTTCTCCATCCTTATTACATGACCCGGAGAACATCTCTTCATAGGATAAATTGCAGCTTATGGAGTTCAATTCAATGTAACATTGAACATTTCTGCCCTGATCTTCATTGGGAACTTTATCCACTGTTGTGCTGATGTGGCTTTGCAACCTCTGATCCATTTCCTGTTCACAACATTGATGACTGAGGTAGTTATATTAAATATATGCAGTTTGGGTTTGGCAATCCAAGGAACCTTGGCTTTTCTACTTACCACCTGTATGCCTTTGGGGAAAATCACTCCAGCTCTCAGCCTTGGTTCCTCGTATGAGGGAGCTGACTTTATGGTTTTTAAGGTTCCTTCTAGCTCTGAATCTTATGGACCTATGAATTATTTCAGCCTTCTACCTGAACCATGCTTTGTGTTCACTGAAAATCCATCTTGTTTCAAAAAGTTTCATTTCTAGGTCGGCCAGCCTGGATAACCTCCTGCAGCTGCTATGGTTTTTCTTGGAGCTCTGGGAGGATGTTTGGAAACAAAACAATCAAGCAATCATCCACGAAACATAAATTGGTGATGTATTCACTACCAATCTTGATTTGCTTTTACAATCCAGGTCTCAGATTGCCACTGTCCAAATAGTTTTTGGGGAGATGGTATCTTTTGGTGAAACTCTTTTGGGGATAACCCTCTGGCACAAGTCCAAGAACAGTTTGATTTCAGTTTTATACTCAGAGCTTCTCTACTCAAGGATATTACATATCCTGGATTTATTCTTCTGTTACACAATACAATATTGATATTTTGACCAAGTTGGATGCTGTTTCATACTTTATAAATGCACAGACTGCAAAGACTTAAAATTCTTTGCATTTTTCTCAAAGTTGCCAGACTTCATGTGTGTAATCAGTAGTTGTAAAGTAAAGCTGGCATGAAAGGCGGCCTTTTTTGGGACCTATGGAATCCTCTAGGTCTGTCCCAATGAGGGGGTGTATTATGTGAGTGAAGAGCTTACATTATGCTAGTTAAACAACTTCTAATTCAACTTTAAAATTACATAAGACCCAAAATTCACATTTTAATGCGGTGACTTTTGTCATCCCTAAATTTTCAATCATGTTTTGGATGGGGCAGACCATCTATCCATCCATTTCTCTCTCTGTCTCTGTCTGTCTGTCTTTCTCTGTCTCTGTCTCTGTCTACAAATCTTTTTATCACTGTTTGGGAAATGGAAAGTCCTACTGAGTACTACACGATGAAGAAGCAAAGAGTATACCCATCCATGACTGATGGGCTTCCTAGTAGCTGGGCCATATTGTCTAAAGTGGAGGGACATGCTGGAGCTAAGAATGGAACTTAGAATGATAACTGGGGAAAATTCTATCTTCCTAGCTGGGTTAGATTATCCTGAAGACATTGAGATAGAGCGGAGGACAGCACGAGGAGCTCAGGCTAAACCACTTAGTGCCGACGTAGTGGGAAGAAGAAAGGCCTTTGTGTTTCTCAATAATAATAGCTAGCATTCATCTAGTGCTTTAAAGTGTGCAAAGCACTTTACAAATATTTTCTCATTTCATCCTCACAACTAGTCTGGGAGGTAGGTGCTATTATTATCCCCACTTCATAGTTGAGGAAATTGAGGCAGCCAGAGGTTAAGTGACTTGCCCAGAGTCATACAACTAGTGAACATGTGAGGCTGGATTAGAGATCAGGTCTTCCTAACTCCAAGTCCAGTGCACCATCCACTGCGTAGCTGCCTCCTTTATTTGAAAGGTCTAGGGGAATGGCTAACTGGGCAAGGTCAATGCTTATTAGTATTTGTAATCTGTATTTTACATTTTCAATGAGAAATCTCAGGCCTAGTCTATCCCACATACTTCCAAAATATAGCTCTTGACATTTGAGGCCTTAGGCCAAACCATATGGAATCTCCCTCAGGACAGCTCTGGTTATACTAGCATGATGGTTAAGAAGATGGCAACAGCTGTGGATTAGTTAGAAGACACCAAGCCAATGCTTGGGTGGGTCTGAGAGTCAAGGACCGTTGTGTCACGGACAACATGACTACAGCAAAGAAAGGAAATGGTCACTCCCTAGACCTAGCTTATAGAACATGGGCTACAGGGAAATAAAGCTCTACTTATATCCTGAAGCTCTTCCAGATCCTTGGGAAAAGATGTATCTCTTCTATTCTGATATTATGGGAACCCGCCAAAGTTTTAATGAAAGCCTTGCTATGGACAAGGAGTGCATTTTAGCTGCCCATTAAGGTGCCTGTCCAGGCTGCATTGCCAACCACTTGCTGGCCATCCAACACCAAGTCACGCCTTCCTAAGTTTTTTTTGGCATGGGTGTAGCTTATAGAAGAAGTGCTATACCTCTTTCATCCATTTTTGACACAACAACACACATTTGCCAGGATAGGAGTTAGAGTACTACTCTGCCACCACCCAACAGCTGTTTGAAGCTCTGCAGCTCAGGGCTCCATAACCTCAGATTTCATCTAAGACCTGTCCCATGGTACTGACGCCTCAGTTTAAAAACAAAAACGAAATACTATTTCAGGGAAATATCCAAAGTCTAAGTCTAGAGCAGGGTGTCTTGACTTGGGGACACCAAGTTAAAACATTATTTAATATAATATATATAATAATATAATAATTAATATACATATATGTTGATATCAATATATAGATAGATAACTATATTTCAGTACAATTGGTTTCCTTTGTAACCCTATGTATTTTATTTTATGTACTTAAAAACATTATTCCAGGAAGGGGCCCACAGGCTTCACTAGACTGCTAAAGGGGTCCAGGACACAAGCAAGATTAAAAATCCTTGGTCTAGATTTTCTACTCTTAATTAAAAGTAAAAAGTAATTTGTTCCCTCAGATCCCCATGGCACAGTCCAATCTCTAAGGAGACCCTTAAGTGAAGCAAAACTTAAGTAAACGAGAGAAGCCAAATACCTTTGCTGGATATTCTGACACCCTTGGGAGACCTTCTCCTTACCTTTTATTGGCGAGATGTGACTGCGATTGCTGTTGGTGCCGGGATTCTGGTGTCCGGAGAGAATTTGCTGGCAAGGATTTTTTCTGTTGACCCAAGAAGAATTTTTATAGAATCCCAGGAACATGTAAAGTGGGGAGGGAATCTCCTAGAAGAAGTGTATAATGACCCCTACTCTGATGACTACTACTGCTACTCAGCTTTATAGCACTTAAGGGTTTATGAAATGTCCTATATGCATTTATATCATCTGGTCCTCAACACCCATAGGGGTTGGAAAGGCAGGCATTATGGAATCACAGCATTTTAGGGCTGTAAGAGACCGAGGTGGTCATCTAGCCCAATCCAAGGCCCAGCCCAAGCCCCTCTGTCACATATCTCTCCAGTCTTTGCTCAAAGACCTCTGATGAAGACCTTTGCCTCCTGCGGCAGCTCAGTCTGCTTTTGGATTCCTAATAAAGGTTAGGAAGTTTTTGCTTCGACTCTAGTTCTGCCCTCTGGGACCAATTCTTTTCAAATGCTTGAACGCTGCCCTCCTGTTCTTCTTTCTCCTGCTCTCCTTCTCTTCTCCTGTCCTGGTCACCCTCCAGCTTCTCGGTATTCTTCCTAAAATGTTGTGCACTGACCTGAACACAATACTCCAGATGTAATCTGATCAGGGCAGAGTATAGCAGGGCTGTCATCTCCTTAGTCCTGGATTCTGTACTATTTATTATAGGATAACTACTTCACATAGGGTAACATATCCCTAGCTTTTTTGGCTTCCAGATTATATAGTATTGACTGATATTAAGTTGGCAGTCCACTAAAATCCCCAGTCTTTTCAGGATAACTGTTGTTGACTCTTCACTCCCTTTCATCTTCCCATATCCAACTTGTTTCTAAGAGCTGTCAATTCCACCTTTATAACACGTCTCGCTTAGGTAGCCTTGCTTCTTCTGACACAGCTATCCTCCTGTTACAGGCCCTCATCCCCTCATGCCTGGACTACTGCAATAGGCTGCTGCTTGGTTTGCCTACAAGTCTCTCCCCACCCTAGCCCATCCTCCATCACTGTCAAAGTGATCTTCCTAAAGTATACCTCTGACTATGTCATCCCTTCTCCCCACCCCACTCAATAAACTCCAGTGTCTCTCTGTCATCTCCAGGATATAAAGTGCCTTTATTTGGCATTCAAAGTCCTCCACAAACTAGCTCCATCCTCTTTCCATTCTTCTTATGCCTTACGCCCTCCCACTCTCAAGCCCTATGTACTCTGTAACCCAGTGATACCAGCCTCCTCACTGTTCCTCAAACAAGGTAGTCTGCCCTGGGATTATGGGCACTTTTACTAGCTGTCCCCCGAACCCCGAATTGTTCTCCCTCCTCATCTCTACCTGTTGGCTTCCCTGGTTTCCTTCAAGTCTCATTTAAAATCTCACCTTCTTCAGGAAGCCTTTCCCCATTCTCCCTACTTCCAGTACCCTCTCCCTGTTGATTAATTCCTGCTTAGCCTACATAGAGCTTGCTTGTAATTAGTTGCTTACATGTTGTCTCCCCCAATAGATTATGAGCTCCTTGAGAGCAGAGACTGTTTTTTTACCTTTCTTTGTAGCCCTAGTGCTTAGAATTTGCCTGGCACATAGTAGGCACCAAAGAAATGTTGACTGACTTGTCCTGCAAGATCAAATTTGACTTGTATTAAGATAGCTAGTTTATCTTTCTTGTTACCCTCATTTTGTGCATTTTTGTAGAGACATCTGAGGACAAGGGTTTTATTAATGTCTCCCTTCTTGGGTTTTGTTGCCTCTGGATTTTTGAGCATCTCAATAAAATGGGAATTCTATTTTTGGGAATACCAATACAATTGAGGGCAAGGGCTATTTTCATTTTTTCATTGGGATCGCAGCACTTAGCACAATTCGTGGCACAGAGTAGGTAATGTTTATCAAACTGAATCTCAATGATAATTCTTTTTACATTGTAGCTACTCTATATGGTATCTGGGATGGTGGGTGTACATGGACAGTTTTCTCCTTTTCCCTTTTTTCAATTTCTTTTTTGATTAGATTTGTAAGACTCCAGGTAAATAAATTCTTACTAGCCTTTGTAATGTGCACTCTTTCCCTGGCCAGTCTCCTGTCATTCCTATATTTTAAGCCAGGGTTTAAAATTCCAAATTCCATTTTCAGTCATTTTTAGCCAGCTGTTCAACTTCCCAAATCTGTTTTTTCTATTCTGAATCTTTTACCTTTGCTAGTCAGCACGGATGCACCACCTAGAACTCTAATGCTTTGATATTTTTACTCCAGCCTTCCTGATTTTTGGCAGTGTTTTCTGGGTTCCTTCCATCTATTTGTGTCCACAAAAGAAACAAGTTTTAGTCCTGTATTGAGAAGACATGTGACCTCTCTATTGTTGCTATCAGTTCAATAAATAGCTTGGTAGACTTCAACAGAAAGTCATTAACCACCATTCTTCTCTTCTTCCTCTGACCTTTCCTGGATGAACTCTCATCCGTTAAGACTTGTGGATCTACGTTATCACTCCTTGAAGCACAAACGGCTGGTTCCTTCTCAGGGTATCTATCCAGCTACCTCATTCCCCCCCCCCCTTGGCTTCAATTGTTCAATGGCCCTTCTTTCTTTCCTCTTTTGTGTCACATTGTTGTTGTTTGTACTTTGTTTTCAAAGAGGACTAGTGACATCATGATGTTGGGATAAATAGTGGATGATGGGCGATGATTCGTGCATGAATTGGATTTAAGTAAGGTAGAGTTGTACAAAGTTGTCAGCCTTACTCTCTCTTCCAGAGCCATCAAAGTACAGTGGCAAGACAAGAATCAGGACAACTGGTAACAGCCTGGAGTGCAGCAGATGACCTTGGAGTCTTCAATGTCTGACCAAGCTACATTTCACAGTGCCTGCTTCAGCTACCTTCATGGCTGTTGGAACAAATTGTTCTCATCCTCCCTTTCCACTGGGGGAAATCTTAACATGCTTGGGGTAGACACCCTCTTAACTCACCACTGGGTTTGAGGCCTGCTGGTTATCCTCAACCTGGTTTAGCCCATCTGCCTGGTTATATTATTCCACCCTTCAACTTCCTAATATTGATTAGAATTCATCTCTTCCTCTTCAGATCCTTTTTCTTGTTAGATTTTCACATTGAAACTTGTCTTATGATTTTTAAATAACCATAGTTGTAGAGGTAGAAGGAACCTCAGGGGCCCCATAATTCAATCTTGTTTTTAATGTAACTTTTATTTTACTTTTTTTGTCAATTAACAAGCATTACTGTTCCTTCCATCTCTACCCCTTTAAAGAAAAGAAAAAGCTCTTGTAACATATGCATAATAAAGCAAAACAAATTCTTACATTGGCCATGTCCAAAAACGTGATCTGATTCTGTACCTGAATCTATCACCTGTTTGTCTGAAGGTGGGTAGCGTACTTCATTATTAGATTCCTAGAATCATGGTTGGACATTGGATTGATCAAATTTTTTAAGTCTTTATTTAAGCTGAGGCATAATAAAATTTGCTTCTGGGTCTTAGTTTAACTCTATGTAAATCTTTATTTCTAGTATGTTTCTTGTGAACAACATATTTTTGAATCCTGATTTCTAATCCATTCTGCTAAATTATATTTCATGGGTGAGTTCATTCCATTTACAGTTATGATTGTTAATTGTATATTTCCCTCCATCCTATTCTCTTATGCATTCTCTTTTTTTTTTCCTATCCCTAGTATATAAAGAAGAAGATGGTGAGAGAGAATGAGTGAGTTCAGCACCAGTGTTCTAGGGCTGGTGTAATCTGCTTCTGTTCCCTGCTCTTCTCTTTCCCTCTCCCATAGCAGGTTTTTATCCTCTCTTTCAAACCCTTCTTTGAAATTCACCTTTACTAATTAATTAGTTTTGCTCAAGACTAATATTTTCCCTAATCTACCATCCCTCTTATTTTTCCCTTTCCTTTCTATTCTTTCCCTCATTTCCCTATTAAGTGACATGTATTTCCATACCCAACAGTGTATGTAGTGTGTGTGTATTCTTCCTTCCTTTGACGAGTTCAGATGAGAGGGAGACTCAGGTATCACTTGCATCCTTCCCTTACTCCTTCCTCCTCCTTTATAAAAATTTATACTTGTGTTTGCCAATTACATGAAATAATTTTCTCCATCCTTCCTCTCCTTATACCTCCTCCCATTTATTCCTCTTCCCCTCCCTTTCCATTTTTCTTTTAAGATCTTAAAACAAAACAGAACAAGCCCTCTGTCTAATTAAACTCTCTCTATGACCACTGATGAAGATAAGAGTTCTGAGGGGACACATGTATTATCTCCTTACATTAGAATATAATTTTTTCTTATTTAGTCCTTTATGATTGACTGTTCATGTTTACTCTTTTAATATTTCTCTTGACTCCTTTCAATATTTAAAAATTTATATGCATCTGGTCTCTTAATTAGGAATGCTTCTATTTCATTAAAGATCCATTTTCCCCCTGCAGAATTATACTCAGTTTTGTTGGGTAAGTTATTTTTGATAGTAAACCTGTATCTTTTGGCTTGTAGAATATTGTATTCTAAGTTCTCCTCCCCTTTAAAGTGGCAGCTAATAAATCTTGTGTGATACTGACCTTGGCTCTTTGGTACCTGAATTCTTGTTTTCTGGCTGCTTGGAGCATTTTTTTCTTTAACCTGGGAGCTCTGGATTTTTGCTATAATGTCCTTGGGAAGTTTTCATTTCAGGGTTTCTTCTAGGAGGTGATTGGTATATTTTTTCTATTTCCTCTTTGTTCTTTGTTTCTAAGAGATATAGGCTGCTTCATGATTTCTTGAAATATGATGTTTGAGCTCTTTTTTTTTGTCATAGCTTTCAGGTAGTAAATCAATAATTAAGTTATCTCACCTCAATCTGTTTTTTCAGATCAGTTGTTTTTCCTCTGAGATACCTTACATTTTCTTCTATTTTTTCATCCTTTTGACTTTGTTTTTGAAATATTTCTTGTTGTCTCATGATGTCATAATCTTCTCATTTTATCCATTCTAATTTTCAGGGAGTTTATTGTTTGAGCAACATTTTGTACCTATTGTCCCAACTTGTT